CAACACGTATTTTTCCTTTTTGAATATCAGGAAAGAACCCTAATAATATAAAATGATAAATTAATAAAGCACCATTTGGCCAAAAGTAGAAGAATTGGATGACGATTTTTAAATGCGAACCGAGATATGTAAAATAGGTAAATACAAATTAAAACATGTAGCAAAAATATATATATTTTAGATGCGGTTTGCTGGAATCCTCTCAGCGAATTAAATTTCGAAGATAATAAATTTATAATATTTTAATTCAACTCTAACTCAGTATAGATTATATTTATTATAATTCATTTGAAAAATATTTATCTATCTCTGATTATTTATTTTACTCTGGCATGCTGTCACTACAGGATAAAACACTCTATGCGAATATTTTTTATTCGCAATTACGAATCTGCCACTAAAGCTTTACGAGCGTTTCGTACCTTTAAAGGTATTCGAAGCGGTAAAAGACCCATGAATTACTACTTTTTGAGGCGAATGATAAAAAAATTTGAAAAGACTGGATTTCTGAAAGTAAAACCTCAGAGTAAAGACCATCGACATGCAAGTCGGTGACTGTTACGGTTTCGCAGAATGTTGAAGCTATTGAAAGGTTATCCACGTATGGGGAAGTAAGGGAGATTTCGTATGGAACAGTTTGGAGAGTACTAAGAATTTTTCTTAAAAATACCCTTAAAAATTCAAAGATTTCACCAGCTAAAAGTCGGCGATTTTGAGAAGCGTCAAGAATTTTCTGCATGGGTTTTCCGGCTAATTGATATTGATGATAACTGACTGTCGAATGTTCTGTGGACAGATGAAGATCACTTTTCTCTAAAGGAAGAAGTTAACCCTCAAAACAGCCACATTTGGGCACAAGAAAACCCTAGAAAATTTACAGAATGTCACTTCATCAGCCCAGAGTTACAGTTTGGTGTGGGTTCACTTCATATTTTATTATTGGGCCATTTTTCTTTGTAGAAATCAATGGAAAAACTTTTAAAAACGTTTCTGTAACTTGGGAACGTTATGTTCAACTTTTGAGAGAAACCGTTATTTCCATATTTCAGAACAGACACAATTAAGCGAAATAGCATTCATGCAAGATGGAGGACCTCCTCATATCTCCCACGGTGCCAAATAATTGTTGAAGGATACGTTCGTTGAAGATCGTATGATAAATCGTCATTTTTACACCAGTGGCCTACAAGATCACAAGTCTTGACGCCTTGCGATTTTTGGCTATGGGAGTACATTAAGTCGGATGTTTATCGATGCCGGCCTACCACATTGGCCATGTTGAAGGCTTCTATCAGACTGCATGTTTCATCAATTTCATCAGATATGTTATTTAATGCTGTCCAATCCGTCACCAATCGTCTCCAGGCGGTGTGTGAGAATGAAGGGCGCCACATTGAGCAAGGATTGTTACCTAACACAAGATAGAAAGCAGTTACCTCATCTGTTATATAAGCTGCCATATATTATATTATCAACCAATATTTTGCAGCACTTTGTGTTGGGTAATGGGGATAATAAATGCTGTCCTCACTTCTCAACTTTTTTTTTTCGTGAACAGTAATTTTTTTGGTTGTCGTTTTCTCACATCTTATATTATGTGGTGAATACCAAATGTTATAACTTCTCAAATAACATTGGCACACACAATTTTACCCCTCATTTTTAGTTTATCGCTTTTCGCTCATTAGAAAAAATAACATAAGGAATATTCTCTGTACACCTCAAACTTTAGAAATTTTGCGCAAAAATAATACGAAATGACTTTACTGCCACGTTATTCAACGCAAAAGGTCGCTATAAAAATGATTTTTATTTGAGGGAACACATTTTAATTTTTTTTACAATATAATAAGCAATGATAGCATTTGACAAGCCTATAGGATTCTTAGAATAAAGTACGACAAATAGATTTTGTCACCCCTCTCTTTTTTTCATTTTTTTTTTTTTTGGATTATGACAAATTTCCAGTTAAATAGTCTAGTGTCGCTAATTTGTCAAGAAACTATACATTTCTCATAGGAATAAATCTTATTGGTAGTGCCTTCGTAATTTTTGGTGCTATATTAACATTTCAAAATATCGTGTGGTGATATCAATAGTTTTTCAAAAATTCAATTTATTTCACTAAACCGCATCGAAATTATCAGAGGTAGATAATTTTGTTCAAATGAATTAAGAATTGAGAGAGAGTTCAATCAAAATATTAGAAATTTATTATCTTCGAAATTTAAATCGCTGAGAGGATTCCTGCAAACCGTATCTAAAATTTTTATATATATTTTTTCCCTACATGTTTTAATTTGCATTCACCTATTTCACATGTCTCGGATTGCATTTAAAGATCGTCATACAATTCTTCAACTTTTGGCGAAATGGTGCTTTATTAATTTATCATTTGATAATATTAGGGTTCTTTCCTGGTAATCAAAAATGAAAAATACGTGTTGATCAGTTATATTTTTCAATTTATCAAACAATTTGGCCGCTGAATCTTTGATTCTGGTACAGCGCCATCTAGCGAATAAAATTGTAACTAAAATCAATTTATTTTTTTCATCATTTGCCCTAAAATACCCATTGCATCCTGAACACAATGGTATTTACCGCATTGCTCTAGCGCAAATATTCGCGGAGTTATTAATTTTTAAAGTTGTGCGAGACTTTTGGATCACCCTGTATATATTTTATATATATTGTTCATACTCGTATTCTGAAAAAAACACATGTTAATATCAATACTTTAATATTTTTAATGTCATTTTGAATTCTATATATTTCAAAAAATATTCTGCATATTTATTAATCACTATTTTAAATATGACGTTTGAACGTTTATGTTTTCATTTTTATAAGAACAATCGAGATGAATACTTTTATCTTCAATGTTTATAATCTTTTTCACTCTTCCTATACTCTATTGCATCATTCATCAATTGCAAATGTTGACCTTTTTAAATCTAAAACTTTTATTTAACTAAAACAGTTATTAAATCTGATTTGAAGATATTTAAATTTTATTTTTATTATTATTAGGAAAAGCATCGATATCCAGTCTCACGGCCTCACATCATTTCTTCCCAGAGAGATCGTTACAATCCGCAAAAACTTTGATTTCTCACCTTGTTTTTACCTTAACTACGCACGATTCTTCGCTGTAACTTTCCCAAAAGTCGAACCTGAGCAGCTAGTTAGATTATTTTTTTGTTCACGACCATCGATACACGATACGACAATCGAGCATCATCGCCCATTTTTTTTTTTAGATTCTCACATTCGGGAAATTCACCTTTTTTTTATCACTTTCACCACTGCCTTACCGCGACCAAATCCTTCACTTTTTTAGGCGACAGAACGTTCTCTTTCTCTATTTTCTCCACCATCACCATCACAAAGCGATCATCACCATTCCCAAATCCTTCTGACAGGACAACCTATTGTCCGTCAACATACTGTAGAGGGATCAATGCTTACAATCACGTGATGTTACATTGCTTCGCAGTACCAGAAGCAGTCTATTCTATGTTAACCTATCTAGACTTTCATATTTGCTCACCCCTAAGTTAATGCACTTTCTAATAATAATTGCAATATTAAATTATGTATATAACACCCAAATTTGTATATTTTTTATCTTTATTTCTTTTCATTTATTGTCGCACATTGGGCTTAAAATTATTATCAATTACTAGCTTAATCACCCGGGCAACGCCCGGGTTTTATCCGATTAATTATTTTTATTCAAAACTATTCGTTACACTTACACAATTATAAATTTGCGCCGTGGATGACACTCTTGTGAAACATCCCGCTCCAAACTTTGTGTGTTTTTAAAATATAAAAATAAAGGTACTATTTTTGCAATTATAAATTGTCGCCGTGGATGTCACCCTTGTGAAACGTTCCGTTCTAAACTTTGTTTGTTTTTAAAATATGAAAATAAAAATATAAATTTTCACAACGATATTTGAAAATAGCATTATTTTGATATTTATATAAATACATTTCAAATTATATATATACTTAAAATGATAGCGAGTGATTTCTTCCCCATACGCTGTCATTACGTCACTCAAGGTCACTATCCAATCCCGTCGTGCCGTGTGAGGGTTCTACGTGGCTTTTTACTTCTCGAAGTTACCGCAGCGAGGCGCTGGTTGCAAGTGAAATAGAGACAATTTGTTGATAATTTGTTAATAACTCCAAAGATATTCGAGATAGAAGCCTGAAAATTTGCCTATAGGTTATATAGGCAATATAAGATTCAACTCTATATACTGTTAAAATTTCAGCCATATTAGTTACATATTGTGGACGTGTATAGCCGAAAAATATACATACATACACAACCTTTATATAAATATAGGGATAATTATATATAGGTAATACCCCCTTTTTGTCATTATAATTTAGCAAAGTATACCCAATATTTAAACTCCATATTTTAATAGTTATAGCCATCATGTCAAACCAATTTGTAAACAAATTATTTACTTCATTACAATTACCTTATGCTTTCATCTACAATCACCATAAGCTAATTTTCATCACTCTCTGAGCATAAACTGTTGTATTTAATATTTCAATTTATATTATAAAGGACTGCGGCGTGTGATTATAAACAATACTGAAAATTATACCGCATAAGTTTCTTTTCTATGAAAAATCAATATTTATTTTAAAGAGAAATATTTACTATTTCTAACTTTTTGAATGAAGTATGAGAGGGTGAAAATATGAAGAGTAATGGCGAACGGGAAAAATAAAAGTGTCCAGGGGCGGGAATCGAACCCACAACCTTCTGCTTACCGGGCAGGTGCCATGTCCACTAGGCTACCCTGGACGTTATTTCTCCGTTCGTAAATAATACTTAAAGTAACTTATAATACATTATAAAGGACTGCTATATAGGATTATATAGGATTGTTTATAATCACACGCCGCAGTCCTTTATAATGTATTATAAGTTACTTTAAGTATTATTTACGAACGGAGAAATAACGTCCAGGGTAGACTAGTGGACATGGCACCTGCCCGGTAAGCAGAAGGTTGTGGGTTCGATTCCCGCCCCTGGACACTTTTATTTTTCCCGTTCGCCATTACTCTTCATATTTTCACCCTCTCATACTTCATTCAAAAAGTTAGAAATAGTAAATATTTCTCTTTAAAATAAATATTGATTTTTCATAGAAAAGAAACTTATGCGGTATAATTTTCAGTATTGTTTATAATCACACGCCGCAGTCCTTTATAATGTATTATAAGTTACTTTAAGTATTATTTACGAACGGAGAAATAACGTCCAGGGTAGCCTAGTGGACATGGCACCTGCCCGGTAAGCAGAAGGTTGTGGGTTCGATTCCCGCCCCTGGACACTTTTATTTTTCCCGTTCGCCATTACTCTTCATATTTTCACCCTCTCATACTTCATTCAAAAAGTTAGAAATAGTAAATATTTCTCTTTAAAATAAATATTGATTTTTCATAGAAAAGAAACTTATGCGGTATAATTTTCAGTATTGTTTATTTCAATTTATACTCTATATCCATATGTATTATTGTTATAGTATAACAGCCTTAATTGTAAAAACGATCCAACTCGCCAGTTGGGCCATCATGCAACTCGAAACGAAATAATAAAGTTTGAAAGGCAGCCGGCGCCCATATAGGAGAAAGGCCTCCGATTACACGACATTTCGTCGGTCCGAAAAACATAGTCGGATTACCAACAGTTCCCCTCTTGCTCTAAACTCTCTTGCTCTCGACCGGCGCCGGCCAATTTCGGCATTGGAGATGATGAAGATAAGCAACCCTTATGGGGTATTGGCGGAGAGCCGAGTTCACGTCCTAGGTGATGATAATGTTTCCACCAAGGGACAAGCAGAACACGTTAGTTCATCGAATTAAAAAAAAATATCAAAAATTATTAGTTTCAAATAACATACAGTGTACAAAGATGCAAATTCACCAATGTTGAGTGGCGACGATGCAAATCAGGCCGCCGGAAAAAGCAAAATTTGGGCCGATCGGGTAGAGGCCTCGGAAATGGAATTCACCTCCGTGGGCAATAAAGAGCCTGAGGGTTTAAGAGGAAAGGTAATCCCCAAGAAAATCCTTTAAAGATACCTAAGGCTGACACCACCACAGTAAGGCCGCCGCAACCACCAAGGAGGGCTACAAGAGACCCTGTGACGCAAGCTGAGATCAGTCGACAGCAGCAGGCGCAGAGCAAAGCAAGATCGGCAAGCAGCTTCTTTTGATCAATGTTGCTATGTTGAGTACTGCTCGGATTCCAGCTGATGAAGATGTCCGGCAAGATTCTGGTCGGGCTGAAGAACAGTGAGTTATAATTTCTTAATCCTGATTTGTGTTGATTTATAGATCTTTGAGTGGCTTGCTGGTGTCACCTATATACAGTAATTGGCTTGGCAATTGTTACAATTGCAGATCATGCACTGAACAACAGCCACACTCCGGAATTTGAAAATACAACTATTATTTACCAGAACATTAAAGAAAAACATCGCCGATTGTTCTTAGAAAGCTGGGCCTCTGCAGAATTCAAAGAAAGTATAAATAGGAAAATTGAATTACCAGACATTTACACACCATTAGATCTTCTTAAATATTTCGTCTAATTATTTTAATTTTAATTGAATAATTTTCGTTTTAAATTCACTTATTATATATTATCTTGAAGGTAGAGGTGCCGTTTTTCAAATTACATGACATTGCTTTTATTTATTTATTTTTTTGCTCAATGTATTTTTAAATTCTGCTGTAATACCCGCGGTTTCTTAAATTTTATTTTCACACACCACTTGTTCAAATATTTTTACGTTTTTGCTTAAAAACTAAAAAGTTAAAATGCATTAAATAATTTTAGTTTCCACCTTTTCGAGAAAATGCTCAAGGCAACAAGCCGCAATCAACTTTAGAAGCTAAAAGCTTCTATAAGGCCTACATAGAGCGCCTTCCAAGTTAGCAGGACGACAACTAAAGCTCGTCTTCTGACTGAAAAATCATCAAAACTATAAGTTTTAAAAAACCTACATAACTTTCTCTTCAAGCTCACAACATGTTTTCCACAAATTTTGTGTATTTTCACTTTAATAATTTTTGATTCCATTTTTTTTATTTTTATATCATTTTATTTTCAATTTTAAAATCTTTTACACTTTCATTTTATCATTTTTTCTTTATTTTTAACCAATTTATAAATTATAAATGTTAATTCATTACTTTTAATTTTTCATGCTAAACAAACAAACAAACATTTTCGCCAATCACACATTTTTATCAACTTGCTAAATTTACACATGCCTTTCTCAAATTTATCTAAAATGGCATTATCCAAATCTACAACTTAAAAAATCATTATTATTATTTTTAAAAAAATATTATCATTTTATCATAATTCTAGACTTATCTTTGTTTTTCTTAATATTTTATCTTTGTTCCAAAACACCCTTTTCTTAATAAAATACCTAAAATGGCAGCTGGCTCAGAGGGTCTTGCAGCATCTGTGGAGAAGATGGTCGAGAGACTACTTGAATAACTTACAGCGCAATAAGTGGAAGACCACCTCTCCCAATGTCGACAATAATACGTTAGTATTGATAAAAGAGGAAAGAATGCCCCCTGCAAAGTGGCTTATGGGCAGAGTGGTGGAAACACATCCTGGGAAGGACGGCCTGGTGCGGGTTTTTTTTCGGTGCGGACATCGGTTGAAGTGCTCCGAAGACCCTTGGTGAAGCTGGTGCTGCTTCCGATGGCTTCCGGTCAATTCGGGAAGGAAAGGTAGTTTTTTTTTTTTTTTGAAGCGGTGCAGCAAATAAGAGGAAGAGAAGATGTGGACAAAGCCAGTAAAAAAGGTATGCAGCCAGACAAGGAAGTGTTTATTGACAGATTCCAGAGGAGGGGGCGGCAGCAGGACAGTCGGGGAGATAACGACGGGGACGACAGACGCGACAAGTTGGCTAGGGGAAGTGTTCCGAGGAGTGGGACCGTGCGGATCAACAACCAGAGGACGGGGCAAAGAAGGACGAGGAGGAACCTACCCGGGGCGGTCAATGGAGGCAAGTTCATCTACTGTATATAGTTATCAATATACTCTAAAGCTCTGGAAATAAATTTATAATACTAAGCTGTATTCAAAACGAACCTACATTGTTCTCTTAGAAACCTTGAACGTAAACATCGACGGCTTAGAAGCGTCGTTACATTTTGGTGTCAGAAGTTGGATACAGCTTAGTTCGCGAGATGGCAGAGCTAACCGAATCCGAAATTGAAAAATTCAAGAAATTGCTCGATCTGTTGAACCGGAAAGTAGATGAATTCAGAGAAGACGTTATATCAATTAAAGAAGGGATTACTCCATTGGAATCTCGAATGTCGAACGTTCCGCCACACCCATGTCTTGCGAAGTTAAGTTCAATGTACTACCGCCAGAAAATCCTGATGGCTTTTCAAAACAATGGCAGCAACCAATAGCCCACGTACGAAATGTCTAAGGGGACAAAAGACGAGTTCAGGTGATGAAGATCCCGGCAAGGCCATCATAACAAAGACCGTCACGTCGGGAGACGTCGTAAGTGAACTGCCAGAATCTACGCTAGAAGATTCTCCCGTGATCCAGAAGTTCGAAAAGTGTCGACAGCAGGAAATGGTCTAGACTGGTTGTGTAGCGGAGGAGGGCGAGCTGATCGCCTCCGACAACGGCTGTGGCACGGGTGTTTTGAACCAAATCAAGCGGACGGAAGGAGAGTCCCCTCCAGGTGAAATACTGCGTGGAAATTCAACCCCTGGGATTCTATCTGAAATAACCCATGGAAACAACAACGATCTTGGCGAGCTGCAATGTGACGGCGTGGCTGACTTCTGCGACAGTGACAGACTGTCAGGGACTACAGCGGCGATCCAACTGGACGGGACGGAGCTGGGTGCTCCGTGGAAGTGCGACAAGACTAGATGGTCGAAGCACCCCGAAGTTGGAGCCGGCGACCCGTCTGAACGGGATAGAGCATTGGATGCTCTGTGTAATTCCGACGACAATGTCTGTGACGCGGAAGTCTCGCGCAATGTGTCAGCGCCGTCGTATGCAATGCAAGCTGAAAATATGTGCCAAGAATGTGTACCTATCATCTTCGTTCCTTCGCTCGGAAAGGTGCAGATCAAGCAGCCATCGCCTAGGAAAAGTTCTACCGACCTTGACACTACCACGGGTTCCGACACCTCCAGAAGGTTTAAGGAATTCCCAGCTCTGTGTGAGGTCGGCACGAAGAGGCCCAGGTTTGATGGGTTTGGAAAGAGAGAGCTTCTAGATCAAGAGAATGGGACACCGAAAGAAGGAGCTTTCCCGGCCACCTATGGGAGTTTAACTTGGAGGAACGCGTGCTGTGAGGACACGATATGGATAGCGTGGATTAAGTGAACCAATCCACTGTAAAGATCGGCGATCTCAAGCCCCGTCGTGAAAGGAAGCGGCGAAAGCACAATACAAAAGATCACAACCCTTTGGAAATGTACATCGCGGCTACAGAGTGTTCACAAAGAGAATTCAAATTATCAGATGAAAGCATCTTAGGTAGTGAAATATGGCTGCCATCGTGTGGAGAGCCACCGCCCTGTGCTAGACAGCGAGACCAATCAATGACGTCGGCACTGGTTGAGAGTGGAAAGAAAGACCAAGTTGAGATATGGTTTCGCAAACAAGGGTTGGCGCTAATCCTGCTGCTACGCTTCCGGGATGCTGACGACTCTCATGTGGCCAGAGACATCAGGGAAATCAAGAGGCCGCCGATCAGCGCCGCTGGTGAAATCGGTCCTTTTCGGGACGAAAAGGACTGAAAAGGGTTCAGTGGAGCGGTGCAGCAAAGAAGAGGAAGAGAAGATGTGGGCAAAGCCAGTAAAGAAGGTATGCAGCTCCTCCCCCCCCCCCCCCCTTTACCACAAAGAAGTGTTTATTGACAGATTCCAGAGGAGGTAGCGGCAGCAGGACAGTCGGGGAGATAACGGCGGGGACGACGGACGCGACAAGTTGGCTAGGGGAAGTGTCCTGAGGAGTGGGACCGTGC